GGACAAGCAGACCAGGCTCGCTGCCGTACTCGCTATCGGGCGTGCCGTCGGCGGGCTGCCCGTCGCTGTTTGGCTGATCGACGTAGCCTGGCCGAGACGAGGCTGGGCGAGTCGGCGGTCGTCGTGCGGGGAGCAGGGACGCGATGTGGCACCGGCAATCTCTTTCTTGCTTTCTTGGTCGTTTGCCGCCCTGGCCCTGTAGCATCGCCGGTCTGATGCCCGCCCGTCGAGGCGTGGCGAGAGGGTGGCAGGCGGCTTCCGTGCCCACTCGCTGGCTTTCTGTGGTGGCGAGGCCTTGGTTGTCGCAACGTGGTCGTGTGGGGTAAGCTATGTTGGCCCCCCCATGCCATACAGGCCAGGCCCGGCATGCCTGCCTGCCTGCCTGCCGCAGCGCGTGCGTGTCAGTTGTCGCTCCCGTGATCTCTGCTTGGCTGGCGATACATACGGTATGCCCTGCCCGGCCTGGCCACCCTTGCGCCTTTGTCGACGCGGGACATTGCCGATGCGGGGCGTTGGCCGCTCTCCCTGAGCCTGGCTGGCCCCGCGAGGAGAGGTGAGATACGGTAGGATGGCAGAGGGACGAGGTGCGGCTCCGAGCCAGCCTCGTCTTCCCTGCCTCGCGCCGAATTTCGCACCGCTTTGCGCCCCCTTTTTCCCCTTTTGCCTTTTTCCCTCACCGCTTGTCCCGCCCTCGGCCAACCATCTAGGGCATCCCTCAACCGTCGTGGCGCAGCGCAAGCCAGATGTACGTCCAACATACGTACTGCGCCGAGTCGAAGAGACCGCCTCTCGAGTTCAGCCGTAGGATTCGACCGGACCAGGAAGCCCGGCTGCGTCCCGGGTGTTTGCCAGCAAGGGAAAAGACGGAAAGGGCCGCGGCGGGTGTCGAGGCCGGGGGCAGGGAAACGCGCCACGTGGTTGTCTACCCCCCACCGGCCTTCCCCTCGCCAGCGTCGGAGGATTTCGCGCGCAAGCGAAGCAGGCCGGCAAGGGCGAAAAGAAAAACCTCCGAGGCACAACGGCCGCCAACGGGGCATCTCATCGCGCTCCCGCTTCACGGCCTCTTCGGATGTGTCACAACACGTCGGCCTGGCCAAGGCGACGCATCGGAAACTGCACCGTACCCATATCATGGCTTCGTGATCGATAGCCGGTCAAATCTGCTGCCTCGTACGGCCACCACCGACCAGGTAGGGAGGTGTCTGGCAACTGGAGCCAACCACGGCCTGGTGGGCATGCAACTGATGCAACGGACCGACCGGCAGAGGTGCAGCGCCAATCGGACTGGTCTCGCCAATCCCCAACCACCGTACCGCGCCGTATTGTCGTCGTTGTCGTCGTTGTCGTCGTCGTCGTCGTCGTCGTCGTCGTCTCTTTCCGCGATTTCCAGACTTGGTCCTCAATCGATCCCGCAAGTCGGCCCGGGTGCCGCACCGTAGTCGCTCCCTCAGGCCTGATGCACCTGGATCGATATCGCCGCCGTCCGGCAGTCGATTGACAGGAACCACAATCCCCTCCGACCGAGCACCGCCCGAGGACGGCGCGACCCCGTACCCACACCAGATTCACCAACTGCCGAGACCGGCCTTGGCACAAGGGCAACCAGAACCCCGTACCCTACCGCGCCGTGCCGTGCCGTGCCGCCAGAGAAGGGCAAAGGTTTGGCGTGCGTCGTCCTTGACCGAGTGAGGAGAATCGAATTGAGCCGACAAGTACCGTACACGGCTCCGACCAGCGTGGCCGAAGACCGACGAATGGACAACGCCCCGTAGAATGCTCGTCTAGAAGGCTGCAAAAACTACGTACTCATTAGAAGCCAGGAACCGAGCCAAAGCGTTCCATTGAACAGAGCGCAAAGAGAGCGGGATGCAACCGAGAGGAAGGGACGCCAGCAAGCGGGAAGCCCAGGAGACGTCGAGGATCGCCGCGAGGGCAGGCTCGCCTTGCCACAGCGGCCGTCTGGGCAGCGCTTGCTGGTCAGCGCCGATTCCAGGCCGGCATGCTGCCCTGTGCAGGCCTGGCCAAGCTCACCGCTGCAGGGACCGAGGCCGTCGGCCCGCCATACGCAACCGGACGAGCTTCCCACCCCCCGTACGGCGGTCGCATCGGCTCGGAGCTGCTTGGAGACCAAGGCGCGTAGCGAGGAGGAGGCGGAGGAGGAGGAGGAGGAGGTGGGGCCGGCGTGGGCGTCTCGAGCCGATGAACCGCGTCAGCTCCAAAGCACGGCGACGGCGGCCACGCCTGCTGTCGAGGCGGTTGTGGATGCGGATGGAAAGCACCACGACGCTGCGGCCCATCGTCGGGCCTCGCCCCAAACGGCGGCCCCAAGCTTGCTCGGAAGAATCGGCACTGGTCAGAGAGGAGCCGGATTCTCTCACGACAGACCCTCAAGATGTGGATCAGGTGGGCCTGTGTCAAGCCGTCCGTTTCGCCACGTAGCAGCTTGGCCTCGGCTTCCCGCAGCTCGCGGAGATTTAGGCCAATCGCGCTCTCGTCTCCCAAGCCGCCATCTTCCTGGAGCCGGGACGCCAGCGACGCCGACAGCGCGGGGGACAGCAGCTGGTCGTCTCGACGCCGCTCGCAGCTGATCTCGTAGAGGGCGTCGCGCTCGGCGCGAAGAGTCGCCTCGATCTGCGAAAAGTGGGCGAAGCGGTGCAGCCCTTCATCCCATGTCGCAATGGCGTCGGCCTGGCTTGGCCGCGTCGAGTCCATGACCGCGCCTCCTGCCGGCAGGGCAGAGACGTGGCCGGGAGGCGAGGGACGGCGATCTTGCGTGAGAACCAGAGGGTGGGTGCGCGGGCCGGCGTGGTTGGGCTGCTGGATGGGACGTTCGCCGTGGTGGCGCGGCATGTCCATAGACGCACGTCCTGCGTGCCCCGGGGGCTGCTCTCGTCGATTCCGCCACGGCTCGTATGGCGCCGGCTCGCAGCCAGATGCGATGGCGCCGAAAGGAGGGGAAGTGCTGTTTCCACACGACGCGTCCTTGGCATAGGCGTGTATCGCCCGGCTCGAGTCCTGGGAGGCCTCGTCGCAGTCGAACAGGGCGGCATGCGGATGGCCTTGCTCGGCCCACACGAGGCGAGGAGTGGCTGGCTCTGCCGACGTCCAGTTGTCGAAGGATGCCGCGAGGCTGTGCGAGGACAGCAGCGGGCTCTCCAGCTCGTTGCTTGGTTCCAGGACCGGCAGTTGCTCCAACGAGTCGGCCATGGCAGGCGCAAAAGTCGGAGGGCTTCCGCTGTCGCTGCAACGCGAGGCTGCGAGGGGTGGCGACCTCCTCGAAGGCGGTCTAGGGACGGTGGGGATGGGGCCTCCGTTCCCATAGCCTTGGGCCCGAAAGTTGCCGCGGAAGGGCCTCCCGGTGCTGTCTTTGACGGCCCGCGCGAAGTGCGGCGCGGGCGGATGGCGTGGACGCTGATAGGACAGGGCGATCATGTTGTCGAGCTCGTTCATCTCCGCATACGAGAGGCCAGACTCCTCGACCCCGCCACCCGCCCCTCCGTCGAGGATACCTTCGTCCACGGGGTTGTGCTTCAGGACCGAGGCGAATACGGATGAAGGAGTGATCAAAAAGCGTCAGTGGTGGTTGTCTCGGAGCGCAGTAAAGGACGGCAGAGATGCAGGGACCGGAGCGCGACCTACCCAGCTGGGCGCAGGCATCGCCATGCCCTCGGGCGTGTACAGGAAGCGATCGATGGCATGCTTCTCGTCGAGTCCGAGCGACTCCAGGCCGTACAGCCAGACCCGGTTGTCTTGATGCGACGCCTCCGAGTGCGAGGCGGGATCCTGGCATCGCTCTTCCAACGACCGCGTCGCCGCTTCGTAGGCTTGTTGGGTGCAGAGCATCAGATGGCTGCGCTTGCCATCGTCGCTCTCGTGGTCGTCAGGATTGAGGCAGGCGGCGGAAGAGCCTGAGGACGATGAGCTCGAAAGCGAGCCATCTGCCTCGCGCCCATCGTGGCTGAGGGCTGCCGTTGGCGGGGCGTGCCTCGAGCCGGAGCAGTCGGCCGGCATCTGCAACTCGGATCGAAAGCTGCCGAAGACAGGCCCTGCACTCGTCTGCCGCAGATGTCCACCGATCCAGGATGGGCAGCTGAAGGTAGGGGCATCCCGCGGCGACGGGAGGTTCCTGCGGGTAGCCATCCCAGGCTCTCGTCGGGGGCTGTGCTGAACCGCCACCGGTGTTCTTCCCCGCACGTCTCGCTCGTTGCAGCGGCTCGGCAAGACCAGGCCCGATGGATAGATGGGCGGGGTCTCGCCGGCGACGTTGGCGACTTTGGATTGGATTCGAGGGCCCGGCGCGGGCATCTGGGGCGATCCATGCTCCCGCTGCTCCCAGTCGCTTCCGTCGTCATGCAGTCGCGGGGACTCGAGGTCCAGCCATTCGAGGCCGCCAAGTCGGTCCTCAAGAGTGCCAGACGCATGGACCCAATCGCCCTTGAAGTCAGGCAAGAGAAGCGGAAGTTGCTGCCGGTGCTGTCGGTCGGAAGAGTCCCCCGGGCTTGACGGACGCGGGACCGCAGTGTAGCCGGGTATGCACGGTGCGGCGATACTGCGGAAGTTGTCGAAGCACGGCTGGTCGGTGTCGTGGGGCTGCGTAGGCTGGTCGACGTCATGAAGATGCTGGGGCTGCGACGTCCTGGCTGGGACGAGCGAGGGCTGAGGTGCACCGATCGAGGCGCTCTTTATCATGGTGTTTGCGGCAGAAATGCTTGGCTGACGGCGACCTGGCGTCTCGACACGCTGAGCGATGTCTGCGGCCCACTCGAGCGTCCTTCTGAACCGGCTCAGCTTATCCGACTCCTCCTCATACGATCCGAGCAGAGTGTCGATCGGCCGCGCGCGCTGGCAGCCGGTTTCAAGGCGGATCGGATCGTCGAGGGAGGCAGCAGGTGCCTGGCTCTCCTCTTCCTGAGCGGTGACCATGCAATTGCGCGACATCGCCGAGGGCCACATGACCCGTGGGCCTCGTGGGGTGTCGGAGCACGACGTGGACACGGGGCTTGCGGGTGGATCTTCGCCTTGTCTGGTCCGATCGAAGGCGACGCCGTGCCCGGCCGGTGCGACTGCTGCTGCACCTGGAGCGGGCGCGGCAGGGGCGATGGTCTTGGCACGTAGCTCGCATAGACCGTCTCGCACGACCATGGCGGAGGCCTCTGGACTCGTGTCGCGCGTCCGCGGCGTCTGTGCTGTCGCTTGTGATGTAGAATGCCCGAACTTGCCAGGATGAGAGGAGTCGGCGGTGACGTCGGACCACTGCTGCGAATGTGACAGCCGCGAAGATGGCCGCCGAAGCCGTAGGTCGAGCTCAGTCGATGACTCGAGCCTGTGCTCCTGGACGCCTGCAGAGTTGCAGACGCTCGGCGGGAGGTCTGATGTCGGCGGGAGGTCTGATGGGGTGAGCATGGCACTGCTGCTGCCGCCAAAGGCGCCGGTAGGGAGCGACCGGGCCTCGTTGAGCTCGACCGCGCCGACAGATGGAGCGGATCCCTCTCGCTCCGCCCCATTGAGCGGCTGCTGTCGCTCGGGGCTGGCGTAGGGTGTGAACTCGAACGCCTGGATCGAAATCAGGCCGCTCTCGGACAGCGTCGCAGCATCCTCGCTGGAGAGTGCCACGGTCGCGGCGGCGGTGGAGCCCGGAGACGGAGGGGCCTTTGCTGTGTGGAAGGATGCATCCGTGTCCCACGAAGCCATCAGCTCTGCGTCGTCGGTATCGCTGGTGCTGCTCGCCCGGGCCGGAGAGGACAGGGGAAGCTGAGCCTGCCTCTGAAGTTTGTGGCCAGGACGGTTCGAGGAACCCGTCGGAGCAATCGCCTCGCTGCCTGTCGATGCAAGCTCCACAACAGTTGCGGTTGCCGTTTTGCACGACCCCTTCTTACGCTGCTTTCCTTGGTTGCGAGATGCCTTGCTGGATTTGGGCTCTCGAGGCGGCTGCGACATGGTCTCGACCCTCCGCGGAGTCGGCGTCGAGATCGATGTCGCGCTGGCGACGTCGAACAGGCGGTTGTTTCTCGGCGTGCAGTCTCCCTGCGAATGCTTCAGGGGGACATCGACCTCTGCCGGCAGGTTTGAAGTGGTCGATGCATCTGCGAGGTCTGCAACAGCTTCGCTGCGGCTGATCCCGAGGTCGGAACGCGGCTCGCGTCCGTCGCCGACGAGGGAGGAAGCTATGGCTTGGTCCAGCGCCGGCTCCTCGAGGGCGGTCGCCTTGCCCTTGCGCTTCTTCTTGGTCTTCTTCCTCTTGGCAGCCGGCGTGGCAGGTCCCCCGGCCTCGAGAGCGGAGATGATGGGCACCGCGGCAGAGGGCGGCTCCTTGGCCTCGTGTTCCGCGGCAGCCTCGGCCTGCTGCGAAGCCTTCTTTGGAGCGGAGAGATCGTCCGACGCAGCATCGGCAGGGCTGCCTCGGCCAGAGGGAGTCGATCGGTGGCGGTTGGGATCCAGTGTCAGGGTCATCGCCAACATGGCCGAGCCTCGACCGTGAGGGCCGTGTACATGGCCGCTTGAGGGACATCCCGAAGCGCGTCTCTTGAAGCCGATCTCCCGGAAAGGGTCGCAAAGCATGTTGGCGTCATCCGTCATCGTCGAGATCGGCACCTGATCTTCGAGACCGCCGACCGCGGGCTCTGCAGGACTGGACTCAGAGTCGGCCGCTCCAGCCGAGCCCGAGTCGTCGGGTCCCTGCGCGGCCTCGGTGTTTTCAACGTAGGTCAGGCCCTCAGGGTGCCTTCTCATCGTGTAGCTGATGAAGCTGTCCGCCAGCATGTGATCCCACTCTCCGAGTCCGCCCCAGATGCGTAGGATCGGGATCGGCATGTTTGGCTGAGTCAGGCGTGGCTCGCCGGATGCCGAAGTTCGACTGGCTCGCGCCGCCGGCCGGGGGACGGGACCGAGCCTCGAGAGCAGGCTGGGCCGGTGTTGTGGCGGCGGGGATGGCTTCTTGTCAGGACTCGAACCGGTGCTGCCTGTCGACGTAGCCTGAGGCCGTGCGGTGGACGTCTTCAGGGCGCGCGCTCTCTCGCCAGCATTCTTCCGGCGCCCCGCCATGTCGACGGCGCTTTTATCGCTTGATGGAGGTCGGCGCGGTGCAGCCTGAACTGGTCGGAACAGCGACGGCGCTGGCAAGGCAGGCTGTCGTCGCGATGGTCAGCGTCGGGGCGAACGGCAGGCTCGGACTCTCTGCCACCGGCCCTTGCAGCGGTGAGGGGTGGACGTCGATTCGAGCGCCCCTGTGCGTTGGACCAGCCGAGACGACCCTCTGGCGAGCGACCAGGAGGGCCCCCAGATGCCTGAGGCTCTAGCGCTCTGAGGCTGCGGAAGGCATCCGCCGGAGCAGCAGGAAGGGACAACAGGCTCAAGCAGGTCAGCCACCTGCGGTTCTCCGGCGGTCATGCGGCATCGACGATTCATCTATGCTCGCGGTTGAGCATCCTGTCGAGCGGCTGGCTGATGTTCGGTAGGGTAGCCTCTCACGTACCTTGCACGGTGATGCTTGAGCAGAGACCGGCGATATCAGCAGCGTCTGGAGGCTGATAGAAGAGTTGACGGAGCGGCGTCTCCGAGCGTCCCCGCCTCGATGCCACCCGGCAAGATTAGAGTGGCTAGAAGGCTGAGGATCGGCCGAGCTGCCACAGCGTGGGAGAGAGGGGGAGACAGATAGGTAGAGACAAGACGATGTCGAGGTCGATGTGGACGCTTTTACCGATGGACGGAGCGGCGTCGGAAGGAAGAAGAGGGGGCAAGGAGGAAGGAGCTGGGAAGGGCGTGGGGCTGGGTCCAGGTCGGAGCTGGGCGTCGGAGAGAGGAGAGAAGAAGGCGAGCCTCAGCCGGATGCTGGCCAAGGCCAAATTAGAGCTCGCTCGCTCGCTCGCTCGTTTGCCCGCTTGGTCGTGTTGTTGCTTGCCCCGCCGTCTGGCCGTCCTGACCGTCTGAGCGTCTCTGGCCGGCCGGCTGGCTGCGCCCGCCGTGGCTTGGGAAGAAAGCGGGGGCAGCGCGGTCGGCGTGCTCCGCTCAGGCCTCCAGCCAGCGCCAGGGCGTGGCTGGCGTGTGCCTCGACGAACCGCCTGCCTGCCTGCC